TTGCCTTTCTGCATAGGCTAGGCAAGTGTGCTAACATTAACTAAGCCCTTAAACCCCTTCAAGTTTTAAAAAGTATTTATGTTAGAAAGAAAAGTAAAAATTAAAAATAAAATGTAGAGACTATCAAATAGAATGGCATTGGGGTGAGGCCTGAAAGTGTGAGTTGTAAACTAAATACCAGCAAACTCATGCTTCTGACTTTAAAACTATTGCAAGCTAGGGCCAGGGATTTAGCTCAGTGGTGCCACCACCTGCCTTGCCAGGGTAAGATCCTTAGTTTGATCCCCGGAGCCAAACCAAATCAAAACACCCCAAAAACAAAACTATTGCAACCTTGATGTGAACAGTAATACTCTTTTTTAAAAAAATATAAAGCTTCAAGTACCCAAATTTTATGTAATTCACAAATTCCACAGATTTCTAGCACCAAAAACATATCAGTATTCCCACCTCCGGACTATAATGCAACTCTCTTTTTTGAGGTCCCATACCCTTTTTCTGTAAGAGTGTATTTTTAAAATTCTGCCTAATAAATCCCTTTATACCTCTGTAAAAAAAAGTTGCAGGTGTTTAATAAAGATTATTATAGAATCTTAATGTTACTGTCACATGTATTCATATACTTCCTTGATTTGGCAAGGTAGTAAATACGGTATTTGCCAGAGCTCTAGAGCATTAAAATTTCTTTTTGGGTCCATTTTTGTGTTATTACTGCCTATGGTTTTCTGAATTTCTGAGTGAAAGTGCTGCACTGGGACTTGATTGCTGGGTGGTTGACTAAGCATGCTCACTGGCAGATTAATTCACAGATCAGCAAGTTGAAATTTCCTTCAGTTTTTGAATATGTACTTACTTAAAACCATTATTAGTATACTCTTAATGAAAAGTGTAATGAGTATAGGAAATAGTCATTAGTGACTTTTTGAAATGAGTATTCTTCAGGAATAGAGGTAAGCAGGAATAAGTTTTCAAGTATCTAATTGAAATTATGGTTTGGAGAACATTTTAACCCTCAAGAGTTGTCTTTGTAATAGAGATTGCTGCAGAGTAGCTCCATTGGTATTAGCAAGCAGTAAGAATTAATTAGTTGTTTCATACAAGTCAGACTTGGAATGGCAATTCAGCATTTAATCAGTACTTGGAGAATTCCTGTACCATTTTGCTTTATAAAAAGTCATCTACAGAATTTTGTCTTTATTTATTCATTTTTTGTAGCCTACTACCAAAGAAAGCATAATGAGTTTTTTCCTTCAGTTTTAATGGTTTCATTTAAAACCCACCATGTTAAAATTTACATTGTTGCTGTTTGAGGTGTTATTTAACCTGATGGTATAAGTAAAACTTACCACTAACTTGCTAAATAAGCTGTCCACTCCCTGTCATTGTAAGGTGGATGAAAGCCATTAAAAGTGACTTGCTTACAAAATTATGATCTAAACAGCGATACCAAGAAAGGTTGGTACACTAGCACCACCACCACTTGTCATTTTACTACTAACACACGGAGTCTGACATTTCAGGAGTTGTACACTTATCAATAGGCAATGCTTCATTGGTTTGTGTGGAACAGTACAGTGGTTAAGAGTTAAATACACCTTTTTGGTTTGAGTGGGTTTGTTTGCCTCATAGATGAAAAGAAGGCACTATTTATTAAAAGCCAGCAGAACCTGTCTGCATTGGCTTTTGAGACTTGGGGAAGAAGAAAAGTAGAGTGAAGGAAGCTGTAAACGTTTGAGGTGATGGAGAAAATTAGCCAGTATGGGAACATAGGAGAAGCAGGTTAAAGGAAAGAGGAGACAACATCTTCATATTCTAAGTGAGAGCTTTTGTTAAAGTTCTCTGTTATCTGTGTAACTGAAAGTAGCATAGCTGGGAAAAAAATTTAGATATCTTGACTTGTTTTCAAGTAGCACAGTGGGTAGGTGTTTTGCAAGAATTGTCCTGTTGTCCCATTTAAAGTTTAAATTATCTTTGAGTTTTTTCATTTTTGTTTTTTGAGACAATCTCACTACATAGTCTAGGCGGGTCTTGAACTCATGATTCTCCAGCTTTAATCTCTTGAGTCAGTGGGATTATAAGCATGTGCCACCACAACTATTTTACTTAGAAGGTTTGCTGTTGTTGTATTTTTGTAGTACTGGGATTGATCTGAGGGCCTTTACACTGATCTATGTCTCTGACTTTTCAGAAAATATATTTATATTTTTAACACTGTTCTCACAAATTGCCTAGGATGGACTTGAATGCAAAATCAGCTCCTCCTGCCTCAGCCTCTTAAAGTGCTGGAATAACAGGCATGTACCTTCAGGCCCAGATCCAGCTTTCAAATTTTTTTTAATCTTCTGAAATTCTCAATTAAAACTGGATTCACTAAATGGTGACTCTTCAATCTTTTTTTCCTTCCTAGCCACTGGCCATTACCGTTTTTTCTTTTTTTCTATTTTTGGTATTGATAATTCAACCCAGGTCTTCGTGCATGCTAAGTATATGGTCATGTAAGGCTGAATAATGTTACATCCTGTATATGTATCATATTTTGTTCATCTGCTCATGGATATTTGCGTTGCTTGTGAATAATGCTATTATAAACATATGTACAAAATTTCTTTGATTTTTTGTCCTAATGATTAGTGATGTTGAACAGTTTTCATTTGCCATTTCTGTATCTTCTAACTCATTTTGATGTATCTAGTTTTGATTTCATGACTAGATTTTTACATGTAAATCATGCATAAGGAAATTCTATAATGGGGGGGAGAAAATTCTGAAAACTGTAATGTCCAATAGAGGTAAAAGTGGTGATTATACCAGCAGTTATGATAACCTTTTTTTCTGAACTCAACCAAAACTCCACTGGAGGCAGGAGAGAGAACTTTTAGATCACTGTGAACAACCAGTCATTTTGTTAGAACATTGAAATAAAAAGTTTTATTTGTTTAAACAGTTCCTTAAAAGTAGTCTTGTTTTGGTGGCGCATGCCTTTAACATGCAGTTGGAGGTTGAGACAAGAGGATCACTGGAAGTTAGAGACCAGTCTGGCTATATAGTGAGTTCAAGGGCTGTCTCAACTGCTTAGTGAGACCCTGTCTCAAAAAAGAAAAAAGTCACACCAGAAAAACTATTTGGTATTTGCATATGTGTGAACTAAAATAGTACTCAAGATCCTAATGGGACAATTAGCAATGTGAAATAGGAAGAAAAGGACCAAATGAGTAGGGACAGTGAGAAGGAAAGGGAAAAGGAAAAAAATATGAGAAAATGTAAAAATGGAATTAAAGTGTTTGAAGGAGGGGGGTAAAGGGAAGGTGGGGACAAGGGGAAAAAAATGAGAACCAAGACCTGGCATGTAAAGGTACAAGATCCCAGTAATGAATGTAACTGTACTGTCTACCTAGAATGTACCAATAAATTCAATTTAATTAAATAAAAAATTTAAAAAAATTTCTTTAAAGTCTTATATTTTAAAAATGCTGTGGTTCTTTGTTGAGGCCCTTGTTAATCCTTGGCTGCTCACCCTTGCAACACGTCAGATCAACTGAGAAATTAATATTTGATAAAGTGGTTAGAATACAAGTAAATAAACTTGGTATTAACTGTAAGATGTAGTTTGTAAGAGCATGCAATTAATATGACAAGAAAATTACGATACATTCCTGAAAACTATAAAAGATTGGAATGTGTCCATGACAAACCACATGCCTGAATGTAGAGACTTGATGGGGTTATTACTAAAAGTTGATAAAGGACAGTTCTTCTCAAATTAATACATTCAGTATAATTCCAATTGGTAACAAAATTATTAATTTCTGAAATTTATTTGGAATGTGGAAAATAAAGACAATTTGAAAGCATTTCAAATTCCTAGTGTGCTTTGTAGAATAACAACTAGTGTCAGCTAAAATAACAAACCTCATATTTATTCAGAAAGTAAGAGGCTAATGGAAAGGAAATGAAGACCCAGATTAGAGCTTTCTATATATGGTGTTTGGCCTATTACTCCTAATTCGTTGGGAAAGAATGGATTTTTAAATGATTACTAGTGGAATGATTATTAATTTTCAGTTTGGAAGTAAACTTCAAGTTTATAATAAAATTTTAGATTGATGAAACATTTTAAGTGTAAAAATTTATACAACACTATTACATAATATTGAATTTTTGCCTTAGAACATTGAAGTGGAAGCCATAAAGAGAACAAAATTGGTTACATAAAAGGAAGAACTTTATGACTAAGTGTTTATAAGCTTTATTAAAAGACAAATTTAGAAAACTGTTCAACAGTGAGCTTTATCATTTATTGTCAAAATAGTTTAAATACTTGAAATAGAATAGTGAAGTTTTACTTCTGATTTTCTGCTCTGTATAAAAATGTGTGTAGCTGGGTGTGGTGGCGCATGCCTGTACTACCAGCACTCTTGGGAGGCTGAGGCAGGAGGATCACTCTGTGAGTTCAAGACCAACCTGGACTACATAGTGAGTTCCAGTTCAGTCTCAACTACATAGTGAGACCCTGTCTCCAAAAAAAAAAAAAAAAAATGTGTATACATGGGAGAATTTATAAATTTTCGTAATTATTTGCATTAGAAAATGTTTCTTATTGATTTTATCTTAGCTAGCTCTATATCTATCTACCTACCTACCTATCTTGAGACAAGGCCTTGCTTAACTGCCTGGGCTGAGCTCAAACTTAGGATCTCCTTGCCTCAGCCTCACAGAGTAATGGGACTACAGGCGTATGCCAATGTGCTAGACTTCTATAAAAAATTATCTCACTTCCAAAATGTAATTTTTTTAATGGGAGAATATGATTTAAATGGACAATATGCTATAATGTGTTTAAGAATTATGGCGATCTGATACATTTTCTGTAAGTAGAATGTTACCATCATCAAAAAGCTATTCCCTAACATGGATACCAAAGCAATGTAGATGCTAGAAAGTTGTATAGCTTTATGGCTCTATAAATATTGATTAACTTTTAATGTTTTGTTTGTTTATAGTCAGGTCAATTCAGTGAAGATATGATACCTACAGTGGGCTTCAACATGAGGAAAGTAACAAAAGGTAACGTCACAATAAAGGTACGTCAGCTTCTTCTCATACTCAATTTTGATTATTGCCGTGTACAGCTAGAAAATCTATTTGTTTCTCTGATTTTACTTAAACATTATTTGCAGTTTGTAAGTAATGAATAGGTATATACCAAAAGGCTGTATCAGTCATTTTTGTTTTGTAATAGTAGGTCACAATATGCAAGAGTTGGATTTTTGAGTTAAAAACAGCATATAGGTTAGCAGAAGATATCCCCAGTAAGTAAAGATTTTGTCTTAGTCAGATGTGGTAGTTCACACCTATAATTCCTGCATTCCGGTAGGCTGAGGGAGGGAGATCACAAGTTTGAGTCCTGCCTGGATAATTTAGTGACTTATTGATACTCTGTCTTACCAAAAAAAAAAGATGGCTGGGTAAAGCTTATACATTAGCTATGGGTTCAATCCATAGTAAGAAAAAATAAAATAGATTCTATCTTTAGGATTTTTGGATTATAATATTACATTATTACATGATGAATACTTTATATTGAAATGTAATAATTATAATATTGGTAGTTTATTATATTTGTGGTAGCAAATACTGTAACACAGTTTTCCTTTTTTTTTTTTTTTTTTTAACTACTAAATCTTAAATGGAAACTACAAAATAGGAAAAAGCTAGTTCTTTAACATACTATAGTTTTCCTTTATAACAAATTTGATAGGTTTAAGTCCTGGACTTTTGAACTACTTGTAAGGAGAAATATTTTGCCATTTCTGGATGGGGCAGTACCTTCACACTCATCCATATCCTCAGCCTTTTTAAATTTTTTAGTTTGAGACCCGGTCTTGCTAAGTGTGAAGTTGAGCAGGCGTACTTTTGATAAGCCTGTCTCAACCTTCCAGAGTGTGTGCCCCACACCTGGCTAATTTTACTCATTTGTTGTGGTTATTGTTATTGCTTTGGTTCTGTAGTTCATGAGGCCTCTGCCATAAAGACCATGTGGCCCAGTCCTTGGAGTTCACAAAATCATTTCACTAAACTCAATAGCTTTTCTGATGGAATTCCTAATTTAGTTTTGTATCATACATTTTACCGGTGTTTGTGGCTAAATTGGAAACCTTGAAAATAAATATCATGATTTAACTGGTTTTATATAGCTTAGCATCCAGCATGGTGCCCAGAAGAATAGGCGTGATAATAAAATTATTCTGGAAAATATCTAGGTAGGAATGTTGACTTTTTTATTTGTGTGATAATTTTTAAAGATTGGATGTTGATGTACACCAAATCAGATAATTAAATTTAAAAAAACTCGGTACTACTTTTTCCTTTTTTGGCATTCAAATCTGCAGGGTACATGGTTTTATAGATTTTTGAATTATCTTAAAGAGAAGAACATGTTGGGGCACACCTGTACTCCCAACACTTGGGAGGCTGAGGCAGGAGGATTGCCTGAGTTCCAGGCCAGCTGGGGCTACATAGTGGGTTCAAGGCCAGCCTGAACTACACAGCAAGACCCTGTCTCAAAAAACAAAGCAAAACTAAACTTTAGAAATTATCTTAAAGTGTATGTTTTTTAGCATTAGAAAATGTATATTTTTAGCAGAGAAAGTATTGCACGTAAACCAAGTCTCTGCCAAAGCTGAATTTTATTTTATTTTATTTTTTGAAGCTGAATTTTAAATCTAGTATAAGCATATTAAATATGGACCTCAAATTTAGAAATGTCCTCAAGAATTCCTAAATTAGGGCCAGAGATATAGCTCAGTGGTACCACGCCTTGCAAGCACAAGGTCCTGAGTTTGATCTCTGGTACCACACACACAAAACATTTCCCAAATTAAGAGTTTGTTTGAGCTCATTTTTTTTTTATTAATATGTGTTTGTGATTCATAATGAATAGACTTATTGTGGGAAGTTGGTACATATGCGTAGTGCATTTTAATCCTTTTCACTTCCGCTGAGCTCAAGTTTTTAAGAGCACTTTGGTTCTAACACTTGTGAAGTTGAATATATCTTCATGATCTTTTCCCCTTCTGGTATTTCCTCCAGTGAATGACTTGAAGTATTTTCATTAATAATTGTCTTTCTTGGGCATGGGATTTAGCTCAGTGGCATTGCACCTGTCTCATAAGCCCAAGGTCCTGCGTTTGATCTCTGGCACCAAAACAAAGCAAATAATTGTCCTTCTTTATTTAAAGATCTGGGACATAGGAGGACAGCCCCGATTCCGGAGCATGTGGGAACGGTATTGCAGAGGAGTCAATGCTATTGTGTAAGCTTCTTTTTGTATGTTTGTTTTATAGTTAGGCCTTCAAGAAGAAAATTTTTAATACTTCAGAGTGTCAGTCATTATCTCAGGGGATAAAAATATTTCTTTGCTAATTTCTTTATGTGATTCTAACATGGGAGCTTTATGAGTTTTTTATAGCTAAAGGCCACACGATATGTCTTACTAGCATGTGTTAGCTCCATGAATAATCTAGCTGAATCTATAGATGCTGAGCTTTTCTTTGTCTAGGACCTTATTTTGATTAAAAATTTGAATAATGTAAATCTTAAGTAAAAATCTATAATCCTAATTTTCATCAAGGTGTATGGAAAAGATTTTTTCTTTTTTTTAAGTTACATGATAGATGCTGCAGATCGCGACAAGATAGAAGCCTCTCGAAATGAATTACACAATCTTCTCGATAAGCCACAGTTACAAGGAATTCCGGTAAGTAAGGAATATTTGTTATATTTATAATTATGCAGCAATAGTTATGCCTTGGTGTTCATGTGGATTGGTTCCAAGGCTACGATGGATACAAAAATCTGACAGTTTTTGAGTCCTTTTTGTAAATTATGATAGTTTTTGCATATAACCTGTGCACATCCTCTTATATACTTTAAATCATTTGTAGTTAAAATATTTCATACAATGTAAGTGCTATACAAATAGTTGTTATACTGTAATCTTTAGGGAATAGTGATAAGAAACAAAGTCTGTTGTGTTCAGTACATTTACATTTTTTGGTAATAGTTTTGATCTCTATTGGGTTGAATCCACGGATGTAGATCTTGTGTGTGTATATAGAGAACTACTCATATATTATAAATGAGATCAGTAAAATGTTTTTTAAATTCTGGGAAGCTTATATTTACTGATGATCTGTCATATCCTGTGCATTGTGTTATTATGAATGTCCTTATCAGGTTATCTACTAAATTGCTATGCAACAGGAACCGGCATCAGTCCTGAGGATATGGTGATGAACAGAGAGTGACTAGGACTACATTGCATGCCATTGTGGAACTTACGCTTTGGTGGGAAGCATAGATGATCTGCAAACACTTCAGTAATGAAGCTCTGATCATGGCTGTGAAGATGCAAGGGGCGTTGAGGGGTATAAATTAGAGGAGAAATTTGCTGTAGTTTGAAGTGGGGAGGAAGGATTCTCTGAGAAAGTGCTATGCGATCTGAGATCTGAAGGATGTATAGGAATGTGTTCTGGGGGGAAGAGAGTTCCAGGCAGAGGCCCTTTGTTATTAGGAAGCCAGCACCCTAGTCTTCAGAGCACAGAGAAGAGTGTGAAGGTAGGGATAGAGTATGGCATGCTGTGCTGTAGCTGGGACACTAGAGGCTGCGCTAGGCAGGACTGTGGAAAGCCAGTAAAGTGTCCTGTTTTGTTTTGTTCTTGAGACAAGGTTTTGCTATGTAGTTCAGGCTGGCCTTGAGGTCTCTGTGTAGGGCAGGCAGTCCTGGCTTGAGCTCTTGAGCACTGAATTACAGGCTTGTACCACCATGCCTGGCTCCAATGAAGTGTTTTAAAAGGGTCAGATGTATGATTTCACTGTATCACTCTGATTACAGTTTAAGAATGAATTGAAATGGTCAAGAAGAGACTGAGGGATTTAGTTTTAGATAACTGTTTTAGTAGTGCTGGCAGTACTTTGCATTAGGGTGGTACTGAAGTCAAGTTTGTAATCGTACATCTTGGTTCAGGTATTCACAATAAATACCTGAACCATGATGTATGATTAGAAACTCAACCAGGTACAGCTTAAAGACTGGAGTGACTTCATAACAGTGGAAAGGGGTAAAAGTGAGGGAAGGGAAAACAAGTTGAGCAAGGATACTGAGATTTGGCCCTTGGCTGTCTGATATCCTGAAGAGTAAACCTATGAGGGTCCTGGTCAAAATGTCTGGAGATGAGATCGGTGGAAATATTAGTGAAGGAAGTAGGTGCGACAAGGACATGGTATGTATTTTGATAGATTGAGGTACATGTTCTGACTTGGAGTATGGATGCTGTCAAGGAAGAATATATAGTAATATTCCGCTTTCTGTAGAGGAGAAAGGATGTTATATGTGGGAAAGAAGATGCTGATGAGGGCTAGGGATTTAGCTCAGAGGTGCCACCTCCGTCTGTGTCACAAGTGCAAGGTCCCAAGTTTGATCCCAAGTACCAAAAAAAAAAAAACAATGAGAAGGCTGTTTCTGTTCTTTTTTTTCTTGTTTTCTTTCCCTCTCTACTGAACTCAGGGCCTTTGCAGTGAGTTACATTCCGCCTCTTTTTTATTTTTCACTTTGAGACAGTATCTCACTAAGATGCTAAGTTGTTCAGGCTAAGCTTGAACTTGGAATCTTCCCGCCTCAGTTTCCCGGGTGGGAGACTGGTGGGAGCTGGGATTCCAGGTGTGTACTGCCAGCCTTTGAAAAGCTTATTTAACAGTCAGGTGATAACATTTTTTCACAGAATACTGTATATGGCTACTTTATTCATCTTGATGTTCACACCTACCATTGTATTAGAGTTATATATAAATGTTTCTCTATAGGATGAATCCTGAATTTTTGTATATGTTTTTATTTATGGTACTGAGTATATTTAGTTCAGAGCACATGGTCTCCCATTGAGCTACACCCCCACTTCCTGAATTCAGAATTTTAAATCCTGTTTATTGCCTGGAGTGGTAGCCCATACCTGTAATCTTAACTCTTCGAAGGCCGAGGCAGGTCAGCCTAGGCTACATAGAGATCTTATCTCAAGAGGGGAGGGGATGGCAAGCAAACAGCAAAGAAAGAACTCTAGGTACTGTAACATGGTGTGGAGGAATGAGACCTCCCGAGTAGGCTAGTGAAGGCAAAGAGGTACAGACTTATTCACCTGGGCAGAGGTGGACTAACAACAAGCATTGGAAGAGGGCTGGTGTGTCTATCATGTGGGGGTCACAGCAGATATTTGTGGTTGTGGTCCATGAAGCAGTCAAGGCGGGAGTGTGAATTTTTTCAGGTAACTTGACATTGAAAAGATACTGTGCTTTGTAGTTGTCATCTCTGTTGGGAACACCCCATCCTATGTTCTGTGTCCGAGATAGCACGGCTTTTGTCCAGCAGAGACTGCAACTTGGAATTAAAGAGCATATTCATTAGCTATTTCACAACCAGGTCAAGCCTCACAGTTACATGTTCATATGATTGGTTGTTGCCAGATTAAAGATGGCTTCTCAGTCTGGGGATGTAACACAGTGGTTAGGTGCATGTTTAGCATTCTCGAAGCCCTGGGTTTGGTCCCTAACAATACATACACATGCATGTGTGCACACACACAGAGATTTCTCAATCCTTGGGTAAGATAATACTCACATCTGATTGTGATTTATTAAGAATACCAGGGCCTGGAATTTAACTCAGTGGCCCAGTTCCTGCCTTGTGAGCATAAGGTCTTGAGTTTGATTCCCAGTACCAAAAAAAGAATAAAGAATACCAGAAGTGGGGTATGATAGCACACATCTGTAATCCCAGCACTCTAGAGGCTGAAGCAGGAGGATCGCCACTTTAGCCAGGCTTGGGCAATTTGCAAAATTTTGCAAAGGCCCTGAGTTCAGTTCTCATTGCCACTACAAAAAGGAAGGAGAGTACCAACATGTAAAGCATAGACTTCGGTATTTTTTTTTGTTTTTGTTTTTAGTGCTGGCAATTGAAACCAGGACCTTGCACAAGTGCTCTACCACTGAGCAACACCTCTAGTCCAAGATTTACAGTATTTTTAAAAAAAGAGTTATCAAGGGATTTATTAGCAGAAATTTAAGAGTAAACACTCAGAGAAATATAGTGAAGGCCCTCAAGAGAGAGAGGCTCTTGGTATATTCTAGAGCTGGGAATATTAATGTGTGTTTGGTGGTGGAAATCTGTAGAATTTTAATCTATTGGAAGTTTCATCCTGGCTCTTGGGAAAAGGATGGCCTACCCACAGACCAATAATGGTGCATTCATAGGAAAAGGTCTGCTTTATAGGTGAAAAACAGATGGTCTGTTCACAGGTGAAAGAGAATTTTCCAAGTTTACTATTTTTTTGAGGGGGAGAAAAAAAATATATTTAAGCTGGCTTGACTCCTGAAGCTGCAGTTTTCATTTTTAAAATTACAATTTTTCTTGTTATCCTTATACCCATATTTATTTCTTCTGTCCCACAGCTGCCCCCTCCCAAGACATTGACCATTTATTCTTAAAGGATGCAGAAGGGCCAAAGGTCTGTCTTTTGCTTCAGGCAGAGGAGGCAAGTTGTGTCTGCCTTGCCAGGGATCAAAAATCTCACCCTGACTGATCTAAAAGTAGCAAAGGAAGATGTGTTATGTTGTTTGGTGGACCATCTTCCCTTATAGTTGGAAAAGAGTACAAGAATATTAGGAAGTTTTTCACACTTTAAGCTTCATTTTATAGCCATATTAAATAAGCAGGAGACAGATATTAAAAGCATATTGATAAATAGTGGCCACAAAAGTAGTAGAGGGGCTGGGAATTTAGCTCGGTGATTCTGGTGCCTGCCTCACAAGCTCAAGAGCCCGAATTCAATCCTTAGTACCAAATATATATATATAGAATATTAGGAAGTTTTTCACACTTTAAGCTTCATTTTATAGCCATATTAAATAAGCAGGAGACAGATATTAAAAGCATATTGATAAATAGTGGCCACAAAAGTAGTAGAGGGGCTGGGAATTTAGCTCGGTGATTCTGGTGCCTGCCTCACAAGCTCAAGAGCCCGAATTCAATCCTTAGTACCAAATATATATATATATATAAAAATTGTTATTAACGCTATTTGTTTTGAGGTGTTTACCTAAGACTTAGCTTGTTTTAAATGAAATTGACAACCACAAACTAAATTCATGTCACCTATGTAATGGTAATTAAGTGAATGCCAGTATGAATAAATGAATGAAATGAGCCACCATAATAATAATGCTTTAATATTAAAGCACACTAACATATTTTTACATTTTCATATATCTGTATGTTTCTGTGATGTTCTTATACATGGAAGTTTATCCTTGATATCTTTTCTTTTTGAAGGTATTAGTACTTGGAAACAAGAGAGACCTTCCAAATGCCTTGGATGAGAAACAGCTAATTGAAAAAATGTATGTTTTAAAAATTTGATTTTGAAATCAATTATTTTGCCTGTTTTGTTTAATATCATAGTATTCAGTAATGATCATAGCCATATTTTTAGTACCTAATTTGGTCTATCACAGAAATGACACTCTGAAATTTTAGTAAATGTTTTTCAGCATAGTAATGAAAATAACACATAAAACTGAGCAAGAAATGCTGTTTTATGTAAAGACTTACTCTTAATTCTGCTCCTTATAGGAATCTTTCAGCTATTCAGGATAGAGAAATTTGCTGCTATTCAATTTCTTGCAAAGAAAAGGATAATATAGGTAAGAAATGACTGATTTTTTAAAGAAGTGGGTAACATTGGAAGATATGTATAATTCTTACTGTTTATTACCCCATTTCTGTTAAAGTTATTTTCTTTACAATGTAATATTGCTATTGCTTCAGGAAAAAAATTTGTACGTTATACCCTTTGACGACAGATGTAACATCATAAATCTTTTCTTTGTTATTTAAAGATATAAATGCAATAAAGTCTTGAAGTTAAGCATTATGTGATACCAATTTATTGTATTAATTTTTATAGAGCTATATCCAGCTATGCTTTATAATAAAGTGGCATTTTTTAAATAAAACTTCACAAAACTTGGTCTGTATGCACTATAACAATTTCTCATTTATTGGCTAGTACCTTACAAAAATATGTTAGCAGTCTATTAGAAGTGGCTGCCAAAAATACCCTTTATCTACTGAATTACATATATTAATTTTCTAAAACTGCAAACTGCAACAAGAAAGTAACTATAAACAGTGGTCTAAAACAACAGAAACTGGGAGTGGGGTAGGTGGTATATACCTGTAATCCCAGCGTTCAGAGACCTGAGGAAGGAGGATTAAAATGAGTTAGAGGCCAGCTTGGGCTGTACAGTGAGTTCAAGGTCAGCCTGAACTGCAGAGCAAGACCCTGTCTCAAAAAACAAAACAAAACAAAAAAACAGGAACTGGTCTGGGAATATATGGCTCAGTAGTGCTTGCGTAGTATGCAGGAGGCCCTAGGTTTAATTGCCAGTACTGCAAAAACAAAACTAAAACCTGAGAAACTTAATTTATGCTCAGGAAGCTAGAAATCCAAAATCAGGTGTCAGCAGGATCATACACTGTTTATCCAAAGGCTTAGGGGAGAGTTCATCCTTGCCTCTTTCTAGCTATTGCTTGGTGCCAGTAATTCTTATCTTTTCTTAGCTTGTCTGTGTGCCGCTCCAGTCTCTGCCTCACAGTCATGTTTCACATGGCTTTTTCCCCTGCGAGAGTACTGTGTTGTCTTAAAAGAACACAACTCATTGGATTAAGGCCCATCCTGATTCAGCATGATCTCATTTTAATTACTTCTGAAGAGACCCTATTTCCATATAAACTCATTTTCTGAGATTCTGGGCTGACGTAAATTTTTAGAACACAGTTCAATATAGTACATTGAATTTAAAGCCATCCATCCATCCATCCATACATACATACATACACATAATATAAATACCTACTTAGGGCTCATCTTCAGTCTCATACTAATTTGGTGAGGGATTATTTAATAAAAATGTATTTGAATAATTGTAATAAATAGTATATTTTAAAAGATACTCGGACTGGGGATTTAGCTCAGCGGTTCGGTGGCCTGCCTTGCAAGCGCAAGGACCCGAGTTCAGTCCTTGGTACCAAAAAAAAAAAAAGATGCTCATTTTTTTTCTCTAGCCCTAATACAGTGTGTATTTGTTCTCAGCATATTTTTCAAGTTAAATCCAGTCTGTCTTCCTCCACCTGACCCCTCCGCCCCCACTTCCAAACATGTTATAATGCATAGAAAGTGCTCATGATTATGGCTGATGCTGGGCTTCCTGTAAAGACCACCCAAAAGCAGTGTTGGTACTGGGAATTCTACTGATTGCCACAAAATTTTCTCTGTTGAGTAGGTAGAATTGTGAGCATTGATATAATTTGAGAACAAACTCTACAAAATATTTATGGATACTCAGACGTCCTTTGAAGTCTTTTTTCTGTTGTAGGTGCAGGAAAGTAATGCTAGTGAAAAAATTTTTTTTTGGTACCAGGAATCAAATTCAGAACCTTATGCTTTTGAGGCAGGCAGTGGCACTGATCTAAACCCCCAGCCCTAGTTAAATTTTAAGATATGCTTCCATGAGAGCAAAGCATTTACTACTACAACATTGTTTCTCAGTGGGGAATTCTTCCCCCAGTAGACATGTGGCAGTGTCTGGAGATAGTCTTTTGGTTGTCATAACCAGGAGGGTGAGGTTGGCATCTGCTGAGCCTCCAGAGACCAGAGGTATTGTTAAATAGTTGATAGTCATCACAGCAAAGGATTAGCTAAAGAAAACCTTATTCTACACTAACTGTATTTTTTAGTAATTACTCCTTTATATCTTCTCTAGCATATCCTAAAATAAAAATAAAAAGCTTTTGAAGGAAGGGGGAAAAATCTATACCTATATCACAAACTAGCCAGATACTTTCCTGAAAAAACAGTCTGTTGAGGACCAGGGATTTAGCTCAGTGGTGCTGCGCCTGCCTGGCAGGTATAAGGTCTTGTGTTCAATTCCCAGTACTGGGGGAAAAAAAAGTCTGTTGCGCTCATTTATACAGGAGATGCAGCAGAGCCGGTGAGAACTTTAGTTGCTAATTGAGACTGACATTCATAGCTTGCTGAATGGCTCAGTAGTTACCAGGTTTGTAATTTTAGAACTCTTGGTTCACCTAAAGTGTTATCAACTCTAAAGTAACTGATCTACTCTTAGGGTTGAAGCAAGTAGTTTGTAAATCAGAATATTTGTTTATTTTGTTTGTTTGTTTGTTTGTTTGTTTATTTATTTATTTTGGTATCAGAGATCAAACTCAGGTCCTTGTGCTTGTGAGGCAGGCGGCAGAACCACTGAGCTAAATCCCTGGCCCCGCTGTTTTATTTATTTGGAACAAGAACGGTAACTAACAGCTAAGTGGCTTAGGCTTCTTGAGTTATTGAGTTAGATTATCCTTTTCTATTTGTTTATTTTTATTGTTGTTATTTATGTTATTTTTATAACATGTTTTAATTTCACATTTTTAAATTTATTGAATTGCTCCCAAAAGTTATTTCATTGGACATAGTTGTATATTACACTTTTAGCTTCCTTACTGGCACAGGACATACCTTACTTTCATTAGGAATATGTTCTCAGATCACATGAGAAGTGTTTCTTTTGGTAAAATGATCTTGGCAAAGAATATTTGTACCTGTGACTTTCTGTGACACTTTTTGTGGAATATCACTCCTCCTACCTATCTGTTCCTAGGTATTTATTTGTCTTTAAGATAGTGCCTTCTCTCCACTGTCCAGAAAGGTTTTCTTTGATTTTTATTGAATTTTTTTGCTTCTGAATTCCTTTCTCCTTTACTACACATATTGCAGTAAAGAGGTATAGAGAGCCTATATCAGCGGTTGTATTATTAAATCATTGTTTTCAAAGCTGTGACTAGATTCTGTTTGTTCAGATCCTAACTCTAGGCTGTTCTTTATGTGTGTGGATTATAGTTTCTCTGCTACATGTTAGCTGGGAAACTGAAAGATTGAATCTGCACTTATCTTTCAGTCTTGGAGGATAGAGTGTTTCTTCTAATAGATTCTCAAGTATTCTTTAGGTAGATAACTTATTTTAAAGAACTCAGGACAGTAAATGTTCTGACTCGTCTGCCTTTTCTTGGTCTCTGTGCTTTTCCTGTGTATTTTTCCTTAACGTTCATAAAGTCCAGGCATGGTGGCACATGCCTGGAATCCCAGCACTTGGGAGGCCGAGGCAGGTGTACTGCTTCAAGTTTGAGGCCAGCCTGGGCAACATAGTGAGGTTAAGGCCAGCCTGAACTACAGAGAGAAACCCTATCTCAAATAACAACAACAGGGCCAGGAATTTAGCTCTGTGGTTCTGCCACCCGCCTCGCAAGCACAAGGTCCTGAGTTCGATCTCCAGTACCCCCCTAAAAAAAAAACAACAACACACATTCATAACAACAACAACAATGAAAAGTCCATTAAGAGTTGCGCACTGGCTTATTCCCTTTTTAATTTTTTTACGTTTGCAATTTCTCCTGAAAGTTTCTTTTCCCTCTATCTAGAGGCTAGAACCCAGGGTTTTCACAGTGGGCTATATCACTAGCCCTTCTTTTATTTTTTGAGACTGGGTCTCACTGAGTTGTCCACCCTGGCCTCCAGGTTCAATTCTCCTGCCTTAGCCTCCAAGAATGCTAGGATTGCTGGTGTATACCACCACATCTAGATCACAATTTAATTTTTAAACCAGAAGACTCTTCATTCTCTGATATTTTCTGTTACTATCCTTGTGAAGTTTAAGTTCACAGTACAGTAAAATAGATGTAAAAAAGTGGAAGACATCCAGCATGTAGCTGGAGTTAGCTGTGCTTTTAAGTATTGTCTCTATTTGATGTCAAGGTTAATTTTGGTATCTTTAACACTTTCACTTTTTCCCCCATCTTTAGATATCACACTTCAGTGGCTTATTCAACATTCAAAATCTAGAAGAAGCTGAAACATCTCCTGAAGTCTTCCAGTCCTTCTTCGCTATAATCCTAGAATTATTGTCCGTTCCTCTGAAGTACTTCCCAGGATATGGTCCTTCCTAAACCCAAGAAATTGCCTTTTTCAGAGTTTATTTCTCATGTGCACTGCTGAAAATGTGTAACCCTATTCATAAAGAATCAACTAGAGTTGTCATGATAAAGTCGGCACACAAAGGCTTCTCACACATAATCGTATTGTGTTAAACAGTGTGTAGAGCTTTTTTTTTGCTGTTTTTATTTTTACAAAAAGAACGCGTACTTTTCACCATCCTATATCCAGAAAGTTGCATATTTCCATTCTGGACTTTATGGGCCAGATTTTTATATTGGTTTTCAGTAAATGTCTATTTCATTATAGAGTCCAGTAGCTTAGTATTGATAATAACTTGATACAGCATGAAATTTCTAGTGCCACACACAGTATTTAGAAAACCTTTTAAGCCTGATTAATGTGGGATGTAAACATAATGTTTATCTTATCTCACAAATGCATGTGAAATGTATAATTATACCTTAGGAATTAAACAGTGCTCCGCAAACAGGTAGCAGAGGCATCGTATCTGTGTTGCTGGTTCTTTATACTGGAGAGATCCTACCTGATGAATTTGACAAACATTCTGCTTTCTGAGAATCTTTTATCACAGATAACAGTTGGAAGTATGGGAGGTATTTATGTACGGTGTTTTTTATCTGCCCAGATCATAAATTTTTTTAAAACTTTTTTTCTTTCAGTACACTTTTTTAAGGGATTGGGAATTGAAGATTTTCTCAAAAGCTTTCGTGAATTTAGAGTATTTCACCCAATATAATAAAGCCTGTTAAGAAAGTCAGACTTTGTTCAAATACCTGTTTGTTCTTTCTATCTCTAGTCATTAAATCAGTGCTGCTGCATGACACTCTAACCCTTGACTTTTTATATCCAGTCATAAAGTTGACTTTCAGCACAAAAGATACTTATAAACAAAAATTCATATTTTTTTCTTACTGATGTAAGATCTGGCACTCTTTTGTCTAGTGCCATTAGACATCTTGATTATTGTGACAACTCTAGACCTGCCTGCTTTGTCTAACATAATCATGTACAGTGTCTACAGGTTGGTTAATAGTCAATCACACAGAGAACTGAGGAACTGATGCTGTTTATTGTTTGCTTCATACAGACATGTATAAAAACTTAAAATGAACATATTTTATAGTTTAGTGATCTCCATATACATAAAGGGACATATTATTACTGGTTCACTTGTAAATTGTTATTCATACAGAATGCTATAGTAGATACAACTCTGGTACACCTGCTTATATATGTTGCCTCACACTGTGTGTGATTTTGTTTCTTTTGTTAAGCAGCACTTACATAGATGGTGCATTTTCAGATGTGTAGTCAACAGTAATTCTTTTAATGAATACCAGTTTTAATTTATAGACTGCCATGGCCTTAAAAATATTCTGTACAAAATACTGCACTGTGTTGCACAGACACTGCTTGTTTTTCTCCATTCACATTTTTAATGAGAATCTGAGCTTTGAAAGTTCTCTTATTCTTTGAAGCGTGTTACATACTTCCCAGATAGGATGGGTGGTTCTATAAATGAAGGGATATTTAAAATTGCTACCATAGTTCAATATCATTAATGGTCTCTGGGAACCATTATAAACAATGTGAGAATTTGTGCCTAAGAAGAGGAATTGGAACTAGAATGTGTGACTATGTGGAGACTGCCTAGGTTTGTTAACTGACCTTCAGCTAACCCTTAATGTGTTTGTGTGTCTGTTCATTGCTTTCAGCATTTCAAGACATCTAAATGCTACTACCAACATTTTCCTGTGCATAACATTTGCATGTGAAAACTTAGCAGGTATTGAACTTTGTAAATAAGTAAATTTTTTATTTAGGTGGATGCATTTTTTTGTCTCTTTACTGCTCTTCTCAGCTTTATTCAATAAAATTGCATTTTGAGGGTTGTATTAGCCGTTTTAAATGTGCATCATGATGGCAGGTGCACACTTTTTTGGAAAAAGATAGCAAGAAAATTATTATGAGGAGGAAGGTCCATAGACCATGTGCTAGACAGAAATCAGCTCAGCCCTGAAAGAGTTGGGTCTGAGGCCTAGTTAAAATAGAAATAAACTTTTAAAATATCCCAAGTTGATACTGTGATTCTTTTGGAGGGAAGGGGATGCTACTACTATGAAAAAGTTTGGTCATGATACATACATAAAATGTGGGACTTCTACGTGGCAGGAGTTGGTAACACATTTTCTAGTCCAGTTTTTAAAAATCTAAAGAAAGTCCTACTAAAATACTAAAATCGCAAGACCTACCTGCTTATTGACTTCAGAAAAAAAATATTTTCAATGAGATTTTTCCACAGAGGCACATTTGTTAGAATAAAGCATTTGGTCCATTTTGCTAGTATGTTGTTTATTGTCTGTACCATGAATCAGTATTTCTCTCATCAGAGATATTGGAGAAATAGTTTTATACTCTGTAAAGTTAAGTTGGCGCGCTCTGTGTTCATGCTGTCATTCTGTATAGACACCCGTAATTGGGTAATTGGATGTGTGATTTAGCAATACCAACCATAGGAATTTTTTTGCTGTATTATGGAGCTAGTCAATCTAGTTGATCTCCTTTTCATCATATTTTATTAGTACATGTTAATATTACATGATGGGTTTCATTTCTGGAATTGGTTTATGCAATTAACAAATTATTTGGTTCCTTTTCACCGTTTTTCTACCGGAGTTTGGGAAGTGGGAGAGGGGTTATTGAACTTACATGTGTAGATTCTGCTTATATCTTTATATCTGCTTTTAAAGATATTTTTCTTTTTATTTTGGTGCTAGCAGTTAAACTCAGAGCTTTGTCATTGAGCTACATCCCAAACCCTTTAAATTTTTTTCTTTTTTAAATTTTGAAACAGAGTTTCTCAGTTGCCCAGGCTGAGCTCAATATTTTTTTTTTTTTTGTACTGGGGATCAAACTTGGGACCTTGCACTTGCCAGTTAGGTGGCAGCACCACTGAGCTAAATCCCCAGCGCTTTTTTGTTGTTGGTTTTTTTTGTTTGTTTGTTTTGGTTTGGGTTTTTTGAGATAGGGTCTCACTATGTAACTCACCGTGATCCTTCTGCCTCAGCCTCCCAAGTACTGGGTTTTAAGTTTATTGGTACATTTAGGTATACATTATAACCACATTCATCATTGGGAATTTGTACTTGCACATGATATACCTTTAGTTCTTGTTTTTTCCTAGGCCCCTTCCCTCCCTTTCACCCCTCCACCCCTCCCTATTCACAAAAGCTTTCTTCCTGTTTTTTCTCATGTTTTTTCTTTCCCTTCTTTTCTTTTTCCCATCCTTTACTTCCCCTTTGTCTTTGAACCTTTGCTTTCTATTTCACATTATCTAGTGTACATTTTGTTCCTTATTCATACTTTTAGTTTCTCACACCAGAGAGACAATTAAGTATTTACATATTTGTGTCCTGTTTATTTCACTTGGGTATGGCCTCAATGTGCATTGATTCTTATTGTTTCATTTTTTTGACTGAGGAATTAACTGCCTGCCTGTTCTATCCATGTAGAATTGAGTTACACTGGAATTCTGATGATACGTTAATTCTAGCCTCTCAAAATGTTGGTTTGCTCACTGGAATGGAAACTTAAATTTGTAGCAGGCACCATATTGTAGTATCCACCTGGCCAAATTCTTTATTCTAAAAATGTTTGCCACTACAGGGAAACTCATCATGTTTGGTTTTCCACATATTTTCATTTCATTACAAACTTTCAAGATCATGCCCTTGACAAGGCATATGCAAGTGAAGAGACTTGAAAAGAAAGACAGTAAAGCAAACTAGCCTCATAGACTTCCTGTAAGCTTGCTGTTCTACAAGTGTGTGGCCTACTGCAGGTGTTTCCTGTTAGTTATTAGTAAATATCCTCCACACAATTTCTGTTTAAAATTCAGCTATTAATAAAAATGAGAACTCCTGGTACTGGTGCCTCTTGGGTTTTCATTAACATACTGGATGGGCTACGGTAGATAGTTTCTTAATCTTAGCAGTGACAGTAATCATTCATTATTTGGTTCATTAATAAGCCTCTTTAAAAAGATAACTCTGAAATCCCAAGACAGGTAGCTTTTAGGTAATGCAAACTTCCCAGCAGGAATCAGGAGGGGGAAAAGAGACTTTACCTTTATTTTACTAGCATTAGCAGGTTTTGCATTAATAGAAAAAGACATGGGAAAGACTTTAATTTAAAATGCCAAATAGCTTGGTTTTGTAAAGAGTCCTGGATTTGCACTTAAGAGCATGGGGTTCTTTGCTATTAACTAGTGGTATGACTGGTGCCTTAGCATTCCAGTCTGTAACATGAAGAATTTCTAATAAAATTTTTCACACTAATGGGCTATGATTCTAGCAGTATGTAGTAGTTAATGAGGAGAGAAAATCCCCACTTGGCTGACAGAATGTGTTCTTTTCATGTTCCACTTGAAAATAATAAAAACATTTATTTTTTTGAAAGCTACAGACCCACCCACCCAATACATTTTTTCTAACTTTCAGTTTTAACATAGGTAAGGACTGGACATCACAAGTGTTTTACAGAACGGTAACAGTTTAGGTTTTGTTTGAAAGAAATGGTGTATACAAGCTTATACTGTATACTGGAAGGCATTTATACATTCTGAAGTGTTCTTCCCCGGCTGCAGAAAAATGTTTACAGTTAGAAATAACTTCTTTTCAAACTAAAGGAGAGTCCACAAATCGTGTATGTTCCTTTTTGAATGTGGGAGGTAGAATATTTACCAGTTAGTAACTGTAGTCCCTCCTCCACCCAGTTCTTTTATCATCTACAACTTTGGTCTGCCCTCAGTGTTGGTAACATTCTGTATCATGGTGTTCTACCTTGTAATCTGTCATTGCTGTTTGTTCTTACCCAGTGCATGAGTTAAAGACTTTTTCTTCTGTACATGCATGTATTACTCTGTAGAGGAAAATTCACATTACTATGTCATATACTATTAGCTAATTTTTGAAATTATCCCTCCACTATTCACTAACAGGGTTAAGAACTTGTGTGATTTTTCCTTTTTGTGGAAGTGTCATGGTATGCCTATGGCAATGAT